ATGTGCTTGCCTAGCTCTTTCTGTAAGCCTTGCGTTAACTGAATGCTGAAATAGGAGTCGCTCCTAAGTACCAGTTAAGCATTACTGATATTTCTAGTTTACATAATCATCTTTATTCTGTTGCAGAGAAAGTTAGCATGTGGTCATTGCACTAGTAATTTTGTTTTCCTAATTTAAGATGAGATGATAGCACAAAAAAAGTAAATTATTCAAAATATTAAATATAATGTAAGCATATGAAATATGCTGCAAAGTGCAAAAAAAACCCCACTGCTATAGATATTAGCCTGCTTATACGAAGACATTCAAAGCATGTAGTTTTTAAAAGTGATTTAATCTGAGTTACACTGGCCATTGTGAAGGTATTTGGATGTTTCTTGGTTTATCTTTTGTTTGTTTAAAGAGCAGCTGCTTGGAGATAGGAAGCTTAGAACAGCAACACTGGATGGAGGTGGGGAAGAGCTAGAGGTCTGAGTTCACACAAACAATTTTTGCATATAAATCATCATTGTTTTCTGCTAAGATCACCAGCTTACGTTGCCTGCAGGCATCCCAGCAATGCAGAACAATAAGCACGAGTTGGATTAAATCTGTGTGAGGTTTCTTTACGGCGTAGTCACCTGTTTGTGTGTTCCGGATGATGCTAGTCAGTGTTTGCCTTGCTATTTAAATGTCCTGCCTCTTCTGTGTCACTCAAGCTGTTGTTGCACGTACTGTCTTTCTGGTTTGTTTTGGCTATCTACTGTTAGCCACATATACATATAAAAGCTATCGCCATGGCACAGTATTTAATTCACTGGTATGTTTTTCCAGAAGCCCAGCAGATGTTTCTGTTGGCTGAAATATACAGGTATCAGGATGAAGGGTAGTAGCTGAAGAGCCATTCAGCCATTCATTGGCTGAATGAAAAGCCAAAATATACAGCATGTGAAGCGACTGTGGATAACTTTGTAATAATCCCAAAACCTTAGACAACAGAAAGTAGGTTCAGTTCAGGAAAATACCTTGGGCTAGCTCCTCAAAGCTTGCTTTTCTTTCCTATACACTTAGAAATTAATTCTTTCCTATTCTGACGAAAATTCTCTTACTTGAGTTCATGTGCAATTCTTATTTAATCCTTCAGTCTGCTAATCTGACGAGCTTTCGGTAAGCAGACTCTGAAAAATAAACATACCCACACCTTTCCTTTATGCTTTTTCCACAATGAAGTAATTAGTCATTGAAGTTTAATACTAAACAAAAAGAAGTCTAAGATATATTCCTGAGAATACCATGGGGGACAAAAAAAAGGAGTTTTCAACATCAGTGGCAATGAAGGAACAGGATTTCAGATGTGGCTTGGCAATGTCATGCTTTCAGACATGCAAACACAGTGTAGTTCTGTGAGTGAATACGTTAAACAATTTGTCACCTTTTTGTTACTCACTTTTTCATGTATTTATGTATTAATATTTTTAGCTGAAAACACTTTTACAAAGCAAATGACCTTTTTTCTTTCTTTTTTTTATTAAAAAAAAAAAGTATGGAAAATGGATTTTTGACCAAATAGTTAAAAACAGTTTAAAACTTTCATGGATTAGTTCATGTTTCTGTGTCTTTCCCAGGTGTATATTTAGGGAAAAAAAAAAAGAGACTTTAAGCATTATATAAACTTTTAAGGCTTCTTGATTTAGTTTGTTTTGTTGAAACAAGTTCAAATTTATTTTAATCAGATTTTTTTAGATTAAGTCATTTCAATACAAAGCACTACAGAATATGAAGTTGGCAATTTATGAAAATATTTTAAAATATCTAAGAGTTGGTTATAGGTTGCCAGTTTATGCACGTGTGTGGGAATTGGAGGGAGTGTTTTGTTGGTTTTGGGTTCGATATGTATGGTAACTTTTGTCTGAATGCAGTTAGAGTAGCAGCAGAATACGTGGTTAGAAAACCCTAAAACCCTTCCTTCAGTTGGAAATACCAGTAACTGACTGTTTTTTTTCCAGACTAAAACCCAGCAGTCCTTGGGTTATGTTTTTCATTTGAGGATGCATCCTGTATAAAATGTCTGACTAATTAAATTGTGGATTTCTTGCAGTGTTTGATGTTCTGTTGATCCTGAAAAGGAGCAGGCAAGCTGAGTACCCTTTTTGGCAGGATGACTGTGAAGAAAGAGAGTTGTAATTGCTAACACAATATGTAACTATATAGCTTGTCTCTGATCTTCTGAGACTTTATAGTGCCTTAAAGGTCCTCCCATAACTCCAGCTCGCTTATAACTCTTTTCAGTGCTATTATACCTGAATATTTCAATCTATTTCTTCTCATTGCAGTGCGCATGTGTTGTAGAAGTCCTGTTGTCAATTTAAAAGATGGGGTATAGAGACAGCTGGGAGGCTGAGTGACCTTCTCACAGGATATCTGGGCAGATGAGACCCTCTTGCAAGCCACTGTTAGTGAACTGGCCTTTCTTACCTTACTCCTTAGAGTTTCTTAAACTTATTTCAGACAAAAAAGTTAATTGTTTTTTTTAAATACATTACCAATTTTTTTGCCAGGTGTTGACCTTGCAATTTGTGTTAATATACTTGAAGGCAATTCTCTTACAGGTATGTCATGAGCAGCAGCTGATGGGCTCTTACCTGTAGTGCCTGTAGATGCATGCAACAGTTTTTGAACAGCACATCACTCAGAGTCAGGCTGTAAAATAACAACAAAATGTTGTACGTCATTGAAGATATAAAAATCGTAGTAGGAAGAAACAGTGGATATTGTGCATAAGCGCTTATAAGCCTGCCTTAGATTGTTTATAATCATTGTCAGTTAACACTTATGCAGGAATGTCTGTGAGCTGAATTACAGATTGTAGAAACTGTACAAATACGGTGTTACGTAAGTATTTCTATTATTACTTCATATGTTGTTAGAGTAAATACTAGAGTAGGAAACTGTACTTGTGCACAGGTTATTCCTCTATCACTAGCAACTATGGTTTCAAAAATAAAAAAAAATCAAAATCAATTTATGCTGCTATATTGCAAAGACTCTTCAAAAATTTAGAAGCACTTCTAGATTGTACGATGGGACTTTTCTTTTGACTCTAAATATGCAAAGCATCTCCTTCATGGGAGGGAAGAAATGTAAGCATGCTGGGGTAACACTGTTTCTGTAAAATTATATTTATGAACCGCAGTCTTTGCATAAACAATTAGCATGCAGTTACTTTTATCATTATAACATTGATGGAAACCAGTGATTTTTATTTACATTACCACATTTGCATTGCTCAGGACTTAAAATATAAATCTGAATTCATTATATAAAATGTGACATAATAACAGCTGAGGATTTTGCTTTGTAGCTCTCAAGCTATGTGGGAGAAGCTTTAGGAAATGTATGTTTCTCTCTTCCTGTAACACAGCATTAATTATGGTAAATAAAAGAAAAAATTGCCTATAAACAACAGAATACCTTGGAATATGCATTTGGGAAATTCTTATCTTAAAAATTTATTAATAACCACCACTTCTGACTTCCTCCTTGAGGTCCCTTTCACCTTCTGTTGCTTTAGCTGGCAAGCACTTGTGAGCTGTGATTAGACTTGTATGTGCGTGGGTTATTTTGTTTATTTATTTATTTTTTTTAAGATAAACTAGAAAATGGTAGAAAATTGTTTTACTCTTAACAATGTTTTAGATTCTGTTTGCATGATGCTTTGAAGAAATGCTTTTTCACTAGAATATGAAAGAGAGAATTTCTCTAGCGCGGATCTGTGCCCTGGCCCTGTATCCACCATCATTTTCACGACTTCACATATTTCATTAGTCCTGTATGTGCATCCCCTCCCTTTCTCTGAGGACATCAAGAATTGACCACAGCAGTTGATCAGACTTCCTCAGAAAAAGTGTAAAAAGATTATTTTTCGCTTGTTGGAGACTGTTCGAAAGAAGCAGCAAGTGGAGGCCTATCAGCAAATCTACACATTTGTCACTACTCCCGCCCTCACTACCCCCAACTCTGTGAGAAAGCAAAACACTTTTGATGTTGTGGCGGGTGGAGGGTGTATATTTGTGTGGTTTTTAACTATTACTTTTTATCACTCCAGCAGGATAGGTACCACTTTCCAAGTGGTGGCCAACTGAATTTGAAGTGTCATAGGGTAATGGCACTCGTGCAGCCAGACATAACCATGGTGCTTAGAGAATGGTGTGTGCAGAACCCATCAGCTACTTCATTTTTCTTGCAACTGTGGGAGTTTTATTGCCTGTGTTCTAGACAGTGACTGGGAATGGCTACTAACAGCTGTTCTGCTGCTTCTTGCACGTTGTCACAAATTCTTTTGGAGGCAGATCTTACGGGGCTGTAGCTGAAATCATTCTGGATTTCTGTGCATAGAACCTCTCTGCAGCAGAAGTGGGGCACGTTCTGTGCATCTCAGCAAATTTCTTGAAGAGAAAAAAGACTGTAGGTTGTCAGTCAGAGCACAGGACTTCTAAATTTTGTTCTCTTTCTTGGAACTGAAACAATTTGAATTTTCAACAAATCTGCTAGAAAAGTTTCATTTTGCTCCAATTGCAAAGTTGCTTGTTTGCCACACTAAGTACTTGCGCATTTGTAAAAGGAGGAAGATGAAATATTCTGGGTTGTTACAGTATTATTTTGACTTGACAAAATGCTTAGGTGAGTCTTAAATCTGTGCTCATGGTTTATTTGCTTAATCTAAGAATATATTTAAATGTTTTGCTCTAGCAAATTTTGTTACTGTAACAGAAGCTAATAAACATTTTTAGACTTTTGTATCTCCGTGACACACTTTATAAAAGATCTTGGAGTGTCAGTTCACTTAAAGATGTTAAAAAACAAACGAACAGTCCTCTTTAAGTATGTGAATGAAATGTGAAAGAAATCTAAGAAATGGAAATGTCCGGCACTTCTTTTGTGGCCACCTCTTGTTCTGCCTTATCTCCTGCCTTTCCAAAATAATGATACTAGATATTGACTTGCTAACTTTATCTTAACAGGCAACGACAGAAAGGCCTTTTATACAGAAGCTGTTTCGACCAATTGATTCAGGAGGACAGCTGCATACTTTGGGAGATCTCCTAAAAGATGTGTGTCCAAGTGCTATTACACCTGAAGGTACTGTAAAGCCAACTTTGACCCAATAAAATACTTTTTCTACATTTATATGGGGTGTAGTGGAGGCCGAAGTACGGCTCACTACGAGAAGTTTGGAGACCTTCATTGTGCTTATAGATCACTGCGGTGTTCACGGAAGACAAGGCTGCGTTCTTAGGTACCCCTGAAAAAAATATTTCCCAAAGTTTTTTATTTTAAAGCACATGTACTCGGCTGCTGTCCCACAAAGATTAATTGTAATATTTGCACTTTTTCTGCACTTTTAACAAGTAGTTCAGAGAAGTCAACAAAAAACAGTTTATCTTCATATGTATTTGTATGCAAAATTCTGAAATGGGTCGACACTGCAATATCTACAGTTATTTTTTCCTGTACATTCCTTTAAAAATCTACCAAAAAGGAAAAAGAGGTTGTTACAAGGATGTAATAGTTTGTACACAGTTACTAACAGGTATTGGGATAGAACAGGATAAAGTACTGATTTGTTCACGTAGCATCATATCATTTTGTATAAGAGCATTTGTTGATTAACACTTATTTTGTAAACATTGGGTAAGCATTTCTGGCTTTTTTTCCTCACCTTAAAGATTACAGATTCTGGAACTCTAATTTTTTGGTGATATAAATGTGAAAGTCACTCTTGCAAAGTGGGATCAAAATTATTTAATGTGAAAAGGTTTTTCATCTTGTTCTTGGTATTGTGTCTGTAAGTGCGTGGTGGTGTGTGTGTGGTGGAATGTGGCTTTTTTCAACAAATGTTATTTTGAGAAAGGATATTCTAGAGAACATCTTGGAACAGAATTTACAGGTTTAGTATCGTCGTCTTCTGATAACAGAAGAGTACATTTGAAATTGGTGTTAAAAGAAAATCAGTAATGCAGTTGCTTAGTTCAAAATGAAGTAGTCATTGGTTGAACAATCCCTTAACCATGTTTTAGTGTTTAAGTTTCAGAATCCCTTAAATACTGTTGAAAAGTGTATTGAAAAATATGGATTAGAAATGATGATGTATTTTGACTTGGAAGGCAGACAAGGACAAATTGAATGAAAAAAACCCTTAAAATTCATTATTGCAGAAGTTATTCCAGGCAGACAACAACAGACAACAATTCTTACATATATTTCCAACTTACATCTCTAGAGGATCTCTCTCTTCATTTTTTTTCAGTCGTTGACAAGTGTACCAAACTTTATAGCAGGATATAGTTTTTCTGTGCTGATTATTTGTTGTATTTTCATTAAAAGCTTAAAAAATACATATATATACACCCTTCAATCTAGAACCAAAATTGTTATGTTCCTACGCTTGGGAGGAGAGATCTGAAGTTTTGCTGAGGGGGTTGCTTGTGTTGGAAAATACCTATCTGTTCTTACATAAATCTGCCTTAGTTTTGATCATGAGGGTTCTACTGTGCAAAATATAAACTTAAAATTTAGTGAGTTTGATACCTTGCACAGGTGCGAGTTATCTGCAATTCAGCACACTTTTTCCTGCAGTGTAGCTTTACATTGGTTCTCTTATGTTCCTGGTATTCTTACCTTCTAGTGGATAAGAGGAAGCTAACTGTCTTTTGCAAGCAGAACATATCATACAGATTCTTGAGGTGGAGTGGGGAGTGTGATACAAGGCCCCTGTGGAGGTATGGAGACGGGGATACGAAGACAAGTAATTTAGAAGGAAATGTCAGATCTGGGAGTTATTAAGTGTGATGGGTAGAGTGACTATAAACAATGAGGAAGGATGAAAGATGCTGGGGCAAATGCCAAAATGTGACATAGTAAATGTGAACACCTGAACAGAGAAAGTGGGATAGGAGTCAGTAAAAGCCTAAAAGGAAGAGAGGCATAATGGATCTATATTGATTGTGAGACACCCAGGAGAAAAATGGGGAAAAAAAGTCTGGAGAAGTAATTCAAGTGGTCTAAAGCCCATTTTGGAGAAACAAGTTGAAACAAAGGTTGGCAAGAACAGTTTATGCTTGGAGAGCAAGGAGGTACAGGTGCAAAGATGGTCAAATGGGGCTGGGGAAGATCTGTGAACAAGGAGACTGCATCTCAGATAAGGACACAAAGTGGAGAATGGAGTATATGGCAACATGGACAGAAAACACCTGGGACAGATTATGAGGAAAGAGGACTAGGACAAAAAAGAGGGATGTGGAGCAAGGGGTCAGCCTTATGGAAAATGGTTCCAAAAGATAGACACAAGGAGTGGTGATTTCTAGTGCTGAGGGACTTGAACCGGTGAGGTCAATGCACAGGACAGGCAGTGAAGGGCAGCAGCAGTTTCAGTCTGTCTGCTTCATCCTGCTCTGTTCAGTAGAATTGCAAGATAGACAATTAGTGGTAGAGGGGACCTAAGAGGTAAGGAGCAATGTGCTCATCTCAGCCCATTCAGAAAGGGTGGTTGGGGGAGGTAGAAAGTGAGGAGGATAAAGCAGAGGAGCCTCGTTTGAGTGTTATTTTTTTTTTTTTAATGTCCAGACAGCAGATACTTTCTTATATGTACTTCAATTCAGTGTCATCTCTGTACCTCTAACTTCTGATAGTCATCACTGTAATTCTCTTCAGCTTCTATTTCATTCCAGTAATACATGTTCTCCAATGACTGGCAACTGCAAGTACCATCCATCCTGAGTAACATAAAACTTCCTGTAATGCTTTTTGGCCTTGGCATTGCTTCCCTGCATCCTGTCTGCACCCTTCTCCTATGCCGTCAAGACTTAATCACCACACAGTTCTTTTAGTATATGCAATTCAGTCTGTTCACTCTAAAATTAGGGCTAGTTTAAAAAAAAAAGAAAAAGTGCCCTCCCTCATGCAGTATCTTTCTACTCTCTAGGGAATTTTCTCCCAATACTGTATCAGTCATCTTAAGTGTCTTCCAATTCTCTGAGTTTATGAACAACAAACTTTGATTACTCTCTTGCCTGACTTAATCCACTCTCTCATGCACTATTTAAGTATAACAGATGCACCATATTAAGTGTTCATGTTCTAATGCAGTGTTGAGGTACAAAAAAAAAACCCTCAAAAAACCACTCACCAGACTGCGGTGGTCCCACTTTTGAGGTTTGCCTATAGAAATGTTAGCAACCATAACTAGGACATACTTCTCCCTTTTCCAGCAGCTGGAATGGACTCCTGAGACTGCAGAACCTCAGCATTTCTGTGCTGCTAAAGTCTCCATGAAACCCACTCAATCAACCCATTTCCTCTCTGATGCTGGTCCACTGAGAGATTAACAAGCTACCGCTGTCAACAGATGCTCTATTAGCTCAACATGCAGAGGAGAGTGCAGAGCTAAGTGTTTCTACCCAGTTTATGGACTTATGAGAATTTAATTTGCTAGCATTTTTGTGAACCTGGGAAACTCTGCACAGATGTTTTTCTTTTAATGCAGTTACTCATTTGAAGTTGAATAGCTGAAATTTAGGAAGTATCAGAATTTGAAAGTGCCTCTGCAATTTTAATTTCTGTGTACCTGGGGGTCTGCATCCCCCTCTTCCCTGCCATCCTGTCATGACACTTTTCTTTTCCAGCCCAGACAAGCATGTTTTAGTGTTAGGGTTGCACAGTGAAAAAGCACTGTCCTTATTGTTGAAATGATAGATGGCGAATGACTGCACTTTAGCACACATGATTAAGGAAGCTTTATATGGCTTTTGGGAACTAGATTCATTTTTTTTTCTCTCTTAGAGAGTTCATAGATGATGCTGGGCAAGCTGGTTGCTACAAATCCATCCATTTATGAAGAGGGTCATCTTTTTTTTTTTTCTCCTCTTTGTGCTTCTGACCTGAGACTGTTCTGCGAGACATCTTGGTTACTTGTACCTGGAATCGGTGAGATCTCTGGAGCTTTGAATATACAAAATGCCAGGTTCTCTCTCAAGTCAGGTTCTGAGCATCTCAGTACTTTTCTCCCCAACCCTGGAGAAATGGATGCATTCAACTATAGCAATAAATCCATTTTCTGGACTTAAGTAGTCTGTGAAATGGTGATATTATCTTTCCATAGAAAAATCTAGGTGAAGCAACGTTACTAGAGGCCAAAAGTCTTATTGTCAAGATTTTTTGAATTTTATGGTATAAAAATTTGTCCTTGTGCCCTGTGTACCTCATTTTTCTATTTTCTAATTTTTATTTTTGTGAATTTGCATGTTTTGTCTTAATCTGCAGCTTTAATTTATTCCGGTCAGGGTATTAAAATTATGTTGTGACAAAGTAATGTACATTTCCAAAAGATATGTCAAAGAGATGACATTCTTTTCTACATTGTATTTTTAGATTTTATTCGGTGTTATTAAAATTCAGATTTACTTGATTGTTCCGAACAGAGAAAATACAGCAGCTCATCAAAGGTATGCATAAAGACTTACAAGGTATTGGTAAAGAAGTGTTTTTCAATTTCTTTTGCTCTTATTTCAGAAAGTAATTTGGATGTTTTTCCAAGACTGTTTTCAACCTCCTCCTCCAAGAATTAGTGCATTGGTGACATTAGCTGCATCTTTTTGTCAGTGCAATACAATCCGTATGAGATTTTTTCTTTCTGTTTTCTTCCATCTGTTGTGCCTTTTTTTTTTTTCCCTCTTCCCTCTGTGTTTTCTCTTTTCCAATGACATTTCAACTGGAAGCTTCATGCTAATTGTGGTGATTGCCTCTCTTTGGTGACATCCGTAACCGAGCTTTGTGCCGTGGGAACATAGAGAATAATGTTTTTCAGAGTCAGCATTTGTAGCCATATATGTGAGCTGTTCCTGCTGCCAGATACTTAGGGACCACCACAAGAAGAGAGAGGGAAGGCTTTCAGGAACCACCCACGACGTGTATATGCCTTTGCTTTAGGAAGCATGGATGTAATTAAGTCTCTCGCTTAACTGTGCCGAGAATAAAATGTTTCAATGAAAAAAATGTATATATCTGTTGATTTAATATATACCCAGATTATCAACTGTTGAAAAACACAATGTTCAATTAAGAATGTTGTCTGAAGTAGACCA